GAGACTAGACCAGGGTTTTTCAAACTGCGGGTCCTGACCCATTAACGAGTCGCAAAATATATAATATTGGTCGCGACATACAAAAAATCCATAAAAATAAGCAAATTAGAACGACAACCTCATTCGCACGCATTACGTATTGCAATTTGAGTGATGGCACACTGTTGGCAGGCGATTGATATTGAATTGCTGAATCTTAGTACCTTATTTACACTGAAGAAAATGACTTTGAGAAATAAAATTTAACATAATCTTGGACCAAGGATAAAGGAGAATTTTTACTTTTAAATAAATAGGCTATCTTCATTCTATTTCATTGTACTACTACTAATTTGTGTGAACCAGGATTTTTCACATTAACTCGGTTACAAACGAAAGATAGAAACAAACTCAGCACTGCAACAGATATGCATGTACCATTGTCTTCCTGTGTTCCAAATTGAAATCAACTACTTACGAACAAGCAAGCACATGTGTGTAAGCAAGCACATCTTTCTCATTAAATAAAAACGGTTTAAAAATAATGTTTACTGTTTTTTTTCTTTTTGCTAGAAATTTATTTAAAATGTTGTTAATTTTTCATATTCCTTAAAATAGAAATATGTACAAGATTGAATAGGTTTCATCATTAAATATGCATTTATCATGTGTCGGTAGTAAACAAAAGAACATATTTCACAGAGTTTATCTGATTTATTACACAAAGGCATAATGGGTCGCAATTCAAAATGCAGTTCTTGCTGTGGTTCGCAGTAAAACTAAACAAAAAGTTACCGCCTTACCCATTGTTTGATTGAGTTCCATTCCCATTATTCCAATATTTCTATACCTACCTGTAATTATTTCACCTCCATTCACAACTTCACCTCTCTCACGTGTGAAGTTAAAAAAAATTGCACCCTGTATATTCCTTACGGACTATAAATGCCTGTGCCACCTCTTTGAGTAGCCTAATCTCTATCAATCAATCACCTGTACATAGCACCGCTCTTGTGCCAAGTCCACTACGGGCTCACCATAGCCCGTGCTACTTGGAGCTTGTTCTGAGTAGCTGAATCTATAACAACAATCACCTGTATATTCATTCCTTACCTGAAGATGTTTCAGTGTATCGCTATATTCATGAGACCGTTCCTACTAATGATAGGTTGTTGATGTTGGGCATTAAGGACAACAATAGGTGTGACCAATGTACTGAAATTGAGAATAATATGCATATATTTTATTTCTGTAAGCAGAAAGTTGTTCTTGTAAACTGGATTAGAGACACTCTTAAAGCTTTATGTGGACCAAGTATTAGAGTGGAGTTAATGAGGTTTTTAATGTTTCATATTGACATAAAATGCAAGAAAATTAGGAATACAATAATTATGTTACTTTCTGATTACATTTTTTGTGTGTGGATAGGCAGGCAGGAAGGTTACTCAGTAGACAAAATATTGAAGTTCTTGCGAGGCAGGATCAGGTATAACATTTGGGGTTTACGGCTCATGCTCGGTGATGATATGAAAAATTTGTTTACTGAGAATTATATAAAATATATATAAATGTAATAATTTCCCCTGTATTTTGATGTAAATTTATTCTCCAATTTTTGTAAATCGTTTTTAGGTAAATAAGTATAACATTCAGTTTTTTTTTAATGATCTTGTTCTGTACTACTGAAACAGTTGTTCACTAAGAATTGTAATGTATAATTGCCTTGTAACACTTATGTATATGTAATTTATATTGTATTTTTTTAAATAAAGATAAAAAAAATAAAGAAAAAAAAGTGTGGAACGAAACGTTGTAGACAGTGAAAAACGCTGCTGTAGACTGCTCATGTCATATCTTATGTCAACAACCCTTCCTCTCACCAAATGCATCTCATGCTTTACGGAATTAACCAGTACTTTAAAAATGTAATGTATAAGATTAAAAATGTGATATATAGGATTAGTAAAAGTAAAACGACGTACTATTGATGTTTTCTCTTCATCGGCTTCGATAGGTTTGTTGGGTTCATACGTTTCTTATTAAGATAGACAGTTGCAGTTTTAACACAATGACAAGTTGTGGGAACGGGTTGTAAGATGACAGAAGAGCCACGCGGGAAGCAGCGAAGGAGAGTTGAAACAGAGACTGAAGGGATAGGGAATAGAGTTATGGCTTAGTATTGCACTAATCAGAGCAGAGTAGCAAGATTTGGAACTTTATGCAGTCAAGATGGCAACTTGTGTCACGGCGGTGCCGTGTCTCCTCCAGGGTGTGTAAAACTATCAGGGCGTGGGAGAGGAGGGTACTCCAGTGTGTGTATGGAGGGTACTCCAGGGTGTTGGAGATGTTATCGTTACCGCCTCCTGACAAGCCTCTTCCGCTTGTCAAGTCATACTCCCATCTATTCATGTTTAAGACCACTCTAAGTTAATGTTAAGAATATATGAGAGGAGACAGGAAGCCTACAATTTTAATTTTGTTTCTTTTTAAGTTTATGCGAAGAGAGGGTAGCCTAGGCTTTAATCTAAAATGGCGGGCAGCGACAGCGTCACTATCTACGGGCTCACCATAGCCCGTGTTACTTGGAACTTTTTGTTCCGGGTAGCGAATCTTTAACAACAACAACTCTGCCTAAAGAATTTGCACCAAGATTTCGAAGAGGCGACGACACTCGATTTCCAGGATGAGAGGAGTGAGATGAGTGGCTGCTTGTAAGCGTGAGAGACCAATCTGAGAATGATCTAGTGTCACGTGACGAGCCGGCGACACGTTAGTGGCGTTTACCTGACAACACGTCACTGCGCCTCGGAACTCGGAGAAGGGAGGTTGTACGTTACGTCAGCTCCGAAAACTCTGGGCATTTTAACGTTCGCGACGAGTCTAGAAATTAAGAGACTACGCCATACACACGGAACAACCTAGAGCATCTGTTTGTTAAAGATAAGTTAGAACATTCTATATATTGCAAGGCAGAAGTTCGTTAGAGGTCCGGGACCGCCAGTACAAACTTAACGGCCCAGCAGGAAGGTCCATTTGTGAGGCCTCCGCGGGAGAGCTTGTAACCGTGCGGAGTTCCTGAAGCCAACCCTGGCCATTGACAACCAGTAATGTCAAGAGTCAGGTAAGCAGTGAAAACCATGTGCAGTCCTGCTGCCTGAGTTCTGCGGGCCGTTAAAGACAGTGAGGGAGTGTAGTGTGAGGAGCACCTAGTGGCCAGAATAGGTAAGAAGTGAAGCAGTGAAGTGCCTGGATGCACCGTAGCCAATTATTTAGTGACAGTGAGCAGTGTGGTTCAGCAGTAGAAGCCTAGTGAGCTTGTATGGAGGGTCAGTATTCCAGTAGAGAATTAATTATTCGTTGACTGTGTGATGTCCGGGTTGTCTGTAAGGCAAGGTTGACTGTTTAAATCCAAGTTTGAGGAGTAGTTCAACACCCTGAGTTAGTATGAAGACGTGTGCAAGGGCCACAGTTGCTGGTGTTTCCAATTATAGGAACTTCACTGCAGTGCAAGTAACAGTTCCCAGTAGCCTCATTGACCCAATCGGCTCGGAACTCTGCAGGTTGTCACCTCAATTACCCGCCCGCTAGGAGTATGAAGACGCCGGGTGAGTACGAGGGCGAAGAAGTCGCGAGGAATTCCTTGCAAGACACTAGGATCGAGGAGCAACAATTAAGGAGCACAAAGACGAAAGATTAAACTGCACTTCGTATATCTGGACGGAGTCAGCATCGACGGCACAGCGCCAGTTGTAAAATCAGGTACATTAAATCTATCTCACCCCCTCCTCTTTGTAATTAGGGCGTTCAAAGGGACAGGCAGGAATATGTATTATATATGTCTCTGCATGTGCTCAAGTGATATTTTGAAATGATTTGCTGGACAATAATATATTTGTGGCGATGCTATGAGTTATAGAGGCAGAAGCCTAGTCCCTCATAAAGCGTTGATTATAAGTTTTCATTTAAAGTAACGTGAAGGCTTATTTACCATTTGTAGTAACCTGTGCTTTGATGCAGTTTTGATATAAGTTCTACTAGTTTAGCAGAGTTCCATAATATTTTTAGTTTGGCGAGGCTACTAACGTTTAGCCAGTTTGATCTAGTTTGATCTTCTTGGCAGTCACTCGCTAGCAGGAAGTTCTTTTGTGTCCTGGGGGCAAAGAGGAGGAACGTGCCCCACAGAGAGGAGGGTAGGTACTTCAGGGCGTGGGGCAGGAGGGTACTCGACCAGGGCGTGGGGTAGGAGGGTACTCGACCAGGGCGTGGGGCAGGAGGGTACTCGACCAGGGCGTGGGGCAGGAGGGTACTCGACCAGGGCGTGGGGCAGGAGGGTACTCGACCAGGGCGTGGGGCAGGAGGGTACTCGACCAGGGCGTGGGGCAGGAGGGTACTCGACCAGGGCGTGGGACAGGAGGGTACCCGACCAGGCCGTAGGGCAGGAGGGTACCCGACCAGGCCGTAGGGCAGGAGGGTACTCGACCAGGGCGTGGGACAGGAGGGTACTCGACCAGGGCGTGGGGCAGGAGGGTACTCGACCAGGGCGTGTACGTGTGGCGGGTGCTCCAGGATGTGTATGTACTCCGTTTGGATTCCATGAGTGTGCTGCTCTGTTTTTACTCCAGAACTCTGATTTTATCATTGTTCTCTACAAAACTGTTGTATATGAATGGTTTATTGTATTTCCCTTGTTTTTAATTGGAAGAACAAGTCAAGTTTAACCTTTGGTTATTTGTGAAGTTTTAGACATTGATTAAACATTACAAACCACTCTCCCTCGCCAAACCTCCTTCGCCACACCACTTTCGCCAAACCTCCCTCGCCACACCTCGCCAAACCTCCCTCGCCAAACCTCTCTCGCCAAACCTCTCTCGCCCGCCCTATAGAGTTATCACAACGTCACTAGAATGATGAACTGAATTACCCAAACCTAACCGAGGAACCACGAATGGAAAACAGGACATGTCGTTAATTTTTGCGAGCAGCGAGGATTTTTAGCACATTGTGCTTAGACTTCGGGCATTTTACGTCAAAATAGAATGTGTTATACGAGAGACAGGTTGCACTCGCACACTATTCTTAGATGACTCGACAACACTAGACGACTGGTCATCACTAGACTCGACAACACTAGACGACTGGTCATCACTAGACTCGACAACACTAGACGGCTGGTCATCACTAGACTCGACAACACTAGACGGCTGGTCATCACTAGACTCGACAACACTAGACGACTGGTCATCACTAGACTCGACAACACTAGACGACTGGTCATCACTAGACTCGACAACACTAGACGGCTGGTCATCACTAGATTCGACAACACTAGACGGCTGGTCATCACTAGACTCGACAACTCACTAGTCAAGAGTCGACTAGACGACTCACTGCAGGTCATCAGACCCTTGTACAGGAAGTGAGGGATTCCGGTTATCAGGGGAGATTATGGCGCCTTTAGCCGAGGGGCTGACCATTATTCATTCATTCATTATATACACACTTTTATATTATAGCGATTGTTGCTGTGGGTATTGTCGTGATTGTTGTGGGGCATTAAGTTGTGATGGTTATTATTATGATTATTGTGGTGGGTATCATTGTCGTTGTTTTGTGGGTATTTTGATGTATTATTTTAATATTGTTGGGAATTATTATATTTGTGGGTATTATTGCGCTAGTGTGAGGGTACTGTTGTAATATATGTGGGCATGATTGCGCTATTATAGGAATTATTTTAATATTTGTGGTATTGCAATGTGTGAGTATTGCGTTATTTTAGGTATTGTCATATTTGCTAGTATTATTGCGCTATTATGGGCATTGCGCCATTGTAGGTATTACTGTGGTATTGTGATATTGGTGGACATTATTGCGCTACTGTGGGTATGAGGGCAGGGTATTTTTGCGACATTGGGTGGGGCAGGGGGGGTAGGGAGGTTCGTCGTGTGAGCGATATTTAATACCAAGTGGTACCAAATACGATATTTAATTCTGCAGGTCGATACTGGCATCCGGTGGTGGGCGGGGCAGGCGCGACACGTGAGCCCAACACCCGTCATCTCCCGTAATACCAGCCAATCTTTGTTATGGTACCGACCAATCCGTTAAAACGGCAACGTATTAGTCAAACGTAAAGCAGTGTAATATTAACGTTGTTTTTGTTTGTGCTTCAATAGGTTAGGTGGGTTTTTGAATGTTGCAATACTGTTACATTTTGTAGCGCTTAGTAAATAGTTTTTATGTATAGCTGTTGTGTAGACAGGTGATACGTATATACGCTGTATTTCAAACAGCGTATATACGTATATAGCATATATATAAAATGGCGTATATAGTTCTAACAGCTGTTTTCCAAACAGCGTATATACGTATATAGCATATATATAAAATGCGTATATAGTTCTAACAGCTGTTTTCCAAACAGCGTATATACGTATATAGCATATATATAAAATAGCGTATATAGTTCTAACAGCTGTTTTCCAAACAGCGTATATACGTATATAGCATATATATAAAATAGCGTATATAGTTCTAACAGCTGTTTTCCAAACAGCGTATATACGTATATAGCATATATATAAAATAGCGTATATAGTTCTAACAGCTGTTTTCCAAACAGCGTATATACGTATATAGCATATATATAAAATAGCGTATATAGTTCTAACAGCTGTTTTCCAAACAGCGTATATACGTATATAGCATATATATAAAATAGTGTATATAGTTCTAACAGCTGTTTTCCAAACAGCGTATATACGTATATAGCATATATATAAAATGCGTATATAGTTCTAACAGCTGTTTTCCAAACAGCGTATATACGTATATAGCATATATAAAATAGCGTATATAGTTCTAACAGCTGTTTTCCAAACAGCGTATATACGTATATAGCATATATATAAAATAGCGTATATAGTTCTAACAGCTGTTTTCCAAACAGCGTATATACGTATATAGCATATATATAAAATAGCGTATATAGTTCTAACAGCTGTTTTCCAAACAGCGTATATACGTATATAGCATATATATAAAATAGCGTATATAGTTCTAACAGCTGTTTTCCAAACAGCGTATATACGTATATAGCATATATATAAAATAGTGTATATAGTTCTAACAGCTGTTTTCTAAACAGCGTATATACGTATATAGCATATATATAAAATGCGTATATAGTTCTAACAGCTGTTTTCCAAACAGCGTATATACGTATATAGCATATATAAAATAGCGTATATAGTTCTAACAGCTGTTTTCCAAACAGCGTATATACGTATATAGCATATATATAAAATAGCGTATATAGTTCTAACAGCTGTTTTCCAAACAGCGTATATACGTATATAGCATATATATAAAATGCGTATATAGTTCTAACAGCTGTTTTCCAAACAGCGTATATACGTATATAGCATATATAAAATAGCGTATATAGTTCTAACAGCTGTTTTCCAAACAGGTATATATACGTATATAGCATATATATAAAATAGCGTATATAGTTCTAACAGCTGTTTTCCAAACAGCGTATATATGTATATAGCATATAAAATAGCGTATATAGTTCTAACAGCTGTTTTCCAAACAGCGTATATACGTATATAGTTCTAACAGCTGTTTTCCAAACAGCGTATATACGTATATAGCATATATATAAAATAGCGTATATAGTTCTAACAGCTGTTTTCCAAACAGCGTATATACGTATATAGCATATATATAAAATAGCGTATATAGTTCTAACAGCTGTTTTCCAAACAGCGTATATACGTATATAGCATATATATAAAATGCGTATATAGTTCTAACAGCTGTTTTCCAAACAGCGTATATACGTATATAGCATATAAAATAGCGTATATAGTTCTAACAGCTGTTTTCCAAACAGCGTATATACGTATATAGTTCTAACAGCTGTTTTCCAAACAGCGTATATACGTATATAGCATATATATAAAATAGCGTATATAGTTCTAACAGCTGTTTTCCAAACAGCGTATATACGTATATAGCATATATATAAAATAGCGTATATAGTTCTAACAGATGGTTTCCAAACAGCTGTTAGGTGTTTTAGCTCTTAGATGTGGCTGGGCGTCAAGGCTAGCGTAATGCTTCCAGTAAGCTTAATTGGCGACGCAGAAGCTTGATGTTGCTGTTGGCTGAAGCTGTTAATTGGCTCGTTAGCTTATAAATAGACGTTTGGTAGTGGGGGGGGGGGGGGGGTGCGTGTCCACTCATTGATATTTGGATTATTCCAGTCTGCGCGTTAGTCGTGTCCGTTAGTCCATGCGTCACTTGTCCGTTAGTCCATGCGTCACTTGTCCGTTAGTCCATGCGTCACTTGTCCGTTAGTCCATGCGTCACTTGTCCGTTAGTCCATGCGTCACTTGTCCGTTAGTCCATGCGTCTCTTGTCCGTTAGTCCATGCGTCTCTTGTCCGTTAGTCCATGCGTCACTTGTCCGTTAGTCCATGCGTCACTTGTCCGTTAGTCCATGCGTCACTTGTCCGTTAGTCCATGCGTCACTTGTCTGTTAGTCCATGCGTCACTTGTCTGTTAGTCCATGCGTCACTTGTCTGTTAGTCCATGCGTCACTTGTCTGTTAGTCCATGCGTCACTTGTCTGTTAGTCCATGCGTCACTTGTCCGTTAGTCCATGCGTCACTTGTCCGTTAGTCCATGCGTCACTTGTCCGTTAGTCCATGCGTCACTTGTCTGTTAGTCCAAGCGTCACTTGTCTGTTAGTCCATGCGTCTCTTGTTCGTTAGTCCATGCGTCACTTGTCCGTTAGTCCATGCGTCACTTGTCCGTTAGTCCATGCGTCACTTGTCCGTTAGTCCATGCGTCACTTGTCCGTTAGTCCATGCGTCACTTGTCCGTTAGTCCATGCGTCACTTGTTCGTTAGTCCATGCGTCACTTGTCCGTTAGTCCATGCGTCACTTCGTTAGTCCATGCGTCACTTGTCTGTTAGTCCATGCGTCTCTTGTCCGTTAGTCTATGCGTCACTTGTCCGTTAGTCCATGCGTCACTTGTCTTAGTCCATGCGTCACTTGTCTGTTAGTCCATGCGTCACTTGTCTTAGTCCATGCGTCACTTGTCTGTTAGTCCATGCGTCATTTGTCCGTTAGTCCATGCGTCACTTGTCTGTTAGTCCAAGCGTCACTTGTCTGTTAGTCCATGCGTCTCTTGTTCGTTAGTCCATGCGTCACTTGTCCGTTAGTCCATGCGTCACTTGTCCGTTAGTCCATGCGTCACTTGTCCGTTAGTCCATGCGTCACTTGTCCGTTAGTCCATGCGTCACTTGTCCGTTAGTCCATGCGTCACTTGTCCGTTAGTCCATGCGTCACTTGTCCGTTAGTCCATGCGTCACTTGTCCGTTAGTCCATGCGTCACTTGTTCGTTAGTCCATGCGTCACTTGTCCGTTAGTCCATGCGTCACTTCGTTAGTCCATGCGTCACTTGTCTGTTAGTCCATGCGTCTCTTGTCCGTTAGTCTATGCGTCACTTGTCCGTTAGTCCATGCGTCACTTGTCTTAGTCCATGCGTCACTTGTCTGTTAGTCCATGCGTCACTTGTCTTAGTCCATGCGTCACTTGTCTGTTAGTCCATGCGTCACTTGTCCGTTAGTCCATGCGTCACTTGTCTGTTAGTCCAAGCGTCACTTGTCTGTTAGTCCATGCGTCTCTTGTTCGTTAGTCCATGCGTCTCTTGTTCGTTAGTCCATGCGTCACTTGTCCGTTAGTCCATGCGTCACTTGTCCGTTAGTCCATGCGTCACTTGTCCGTTAGTCCATGCGTCACTTGTCCGTTAGTCCATGCGTCACTTGTCCGTTAGTCCATGCGTCACTTGTCCGTTAGTCCATGCGTCACTTGTCCGTTAGTCCATGCGTCACTTGTCCGTTAGTCCATGCGTCACTTGTTCGTTAGTCCATGCGTCTCTTGTCCGTTAGTCCATGCGTCACTTGTCCGTTAGTCCATGCGTCACTTGTCCGTTAGTCCATGCGTCACTTGTCTGTTAGTCCATGCGTCACTTGTCCGTTAGTCCATGCGTCACTTGTCCGTTAGTCCATGCGTCACTTCGTTAGTCCATGCGTCACTTGTCTGTTAGTCCATGCGTCACTTGTCTGTTAGTCCATGCGTCTCTTGTCCGTTAGTCTATGCGTCACTTGTCCGTTAGTCCATGCGTCACTTGTCTGTTAGTCCATGCGTCACTTGTCTGTTAGTCCATGCGTCACTTGTCTGTTAGTCCATGCGTCACTTGTCTGTTAGTCCATGCGTCACTTGTCTGTTAGTCCATGCGTCACTTGTCTGTTAGTCCAT